AATACTTGTCTGTGGTATTCCAGGCAATAGTTTTGTTCGAGTTTTTAAATTACGAAAATCCTGTGTCATGACATTCAAGAAGGAAATCAGGTGTTACTGGAAAGAGAAACATATGGACGGAAGTCATTCCGAGTCAGTGTTATTCTACACCACGTGGTTCCTCTATTTCTAACAACCGAAAGGTCACCTCTCAGTTGGTCATCCCCTTTGAAGGATACTAATGACGTGATCTTCAGTGTCTCAGTGTTGTGTTCTTAAGCAATTACAATACAAGCCTTTGCACTAGAAATCCATTCCCCAACTTGAAAGTACACCACCCAGCTGATCATAAATCTGAAGTACATGACTTCCATGAATGACGACCTTGATGAGGTTAAATAATGTCGACCTATTTAATATTTGTTACTTGCGTGCCTATCCCTCCACGTTCTACCAAATGCCTCATGCCGAATACCACTAAATAATGGTAGGCAAATAACCTTTATAGCTTGTATATTACATTTCCCCGACTGCAATAACAGCAATTAGTCACCAAATGTGTCATGCCATTGGCTATCTAAACACCTGCCAATCAGCATCAATCAGCAACAATCAGTCATTCACAGCCGCAAGTCACGTCCATTGATAAAATCTACCAGAATTCGATCACTGAGTGTGTGGGAGTGCACTTAGATGTTACCATTGAATGCAGCGACAGTCCAACCAGAGATAGGGATGGCGAGGGTAAAAGTTCAAGGTTCCCATGTGTGTGAAATGTCTCTTCTTCATAGATCATCTTGTAATTACTTCCTATGGTCAGGTGTTTGTTCAATTCATCACACGAGTGACACTGTGCTGGATCAATAGCATTTGTCATGCCTGTCAGATATACGCCATCGACTATTTTCTCATTTCAACATGACACGTTGTTTATCGCTACGTGGATTTTCTCTTAGGCCTTGAAACTTTATCAAATTTCAGCAAATCTTCGTCATGATAACAAAGTAGTTTAAATTACAAACAGTTTCCGAGGTATATATACTCAAAAGGTTTCCGCTGTATAAATCTGAATTTATAACGACGTCACTATACATACCACCTGTAACCTTGATTACAATTAGTGTTCAGCAGCTAATGCGACTAACGGGATCTGGTGGTCAGGCACGCTGACTTGGTTGATGCATATTATCGTATCGAAATTGCTTAGAGCGAGGCTCATGATGTCAAGCACTGGATTGTCTGGTCCAGAGTCAATTATTTACATACCGCCGTCGTATAGCTTGAATGTGTTGCGTGCTCCTTTAAACAACAACCATACCAATGGCTGCTATTGCCCAAAAGCGACAAAAATATCAAAATCATGAGAAATGTGTTGATTATATGATTCCGAATTTGTGTTTAGGAAACCCAACAAAATGGTGATGATACCAGTTTTATTTAAACAATGGGTGTCGCATGCCACAACGCTGGCATCCGTTGCTAAACGCCAGGTTGAGATACTTGATAAAATTGATTGAATTGTAGGGGAGACCGGGGTCAATTGTAACACGGGGCAATTGTAACAAGGGCGATTACTCTAAACGTTTTCGCTCAAGCATAGTGTAGGCAAGTAGAGTTATTTCCCTTTACTTTCCTGCGGTACACATCCAGGCTTTTTCAGCTGCCCGCTCATGGCGAGATACAGTTGACGAAAAATCGTTTTTCACATAGGTAAGTAATTTTTTCACAAAACGTAATTAAACGTTCTTAATGCAGTAAATGTTGCTTGGTATGAAATTAACTTATCAAGTGTAAAACAGGTTTTACGATATTTTTTTAAGTAGAAATATTTGAGAAGCCCAAAGTTGTTAACATGTGAGGTGGCATGAAACATGGCTACTACCATCGGGGGCAATTGTAACACTGTGTTACAACTGCCCCCATGCAATTTTCCCCTCTGTAATGATAATGAAGCAAATTATGATGAAGGTTTTACGTTAGTTCTTCACTAGTTATAAAATAGTAGAACATTTTCAGTGTTATGTTGATAGTATTGGCCCGCAGGTGAAAGTTTTTGGGGTTAGTTTTTGTATTATATTTTGGGCATACCAATACAGGAATTTTAAACCAAATCATATTTTAAATGTCGATGGTGATAAAGGTTAATGTTAATCCGTTTCCACCTCAATTGATCAAGATAACTCCTTTCCACATTATATTTTGATTTTATTTAGAAAATGAACGGAATGTTACATTTGAACCTTCTTTGTTACAATTGCCCCATCCACCTGTTACAATTGCCCCGTGCTAGGGGTCAGTTGTAACACTTGCAGTCACTGCATTTGATGCGTAATAACTTTGTAACGACATGATAGTGAACTTTAAATGACACCGAGGTTTTAAGCCAAGAAGCCCATGTACTAGTTAGTAGCGATTAACTTTGTGAGCGGTAGACTAGTATCGAATTGCAAGAAGTTGAGTAAAAAGTGTTACAATTGACAACGGTCTCCCCTACATCTAAATTAATAAAGACACAGGCATTCACCTAAACACGTCACATAAACACGCGAAGACATGTCAGATCTTCCCCAATACAAGCCATGAACCTTCTGAATTATGAAGGTTATTTAGGGCAAGGAAAGACGGATGTTTACGATACATCTGCTCATCTGGCTGTTTGTCATCGTACACCGACGGCCAGATCGTTTCACCAGCCAGTGACGTGAGTATTCACAGACCGTAGTTCATAAACTGGACAACTGCTGAATACGAGACTCAATCTGCGATAATCTAAAAACTAATGGGAGCCAAATCACCATGTTAGATCTATCTTCGAATTTAATGTATACACCCATGGCCCCTAGTATGGTGATCAGTCTTCAGTTGCTGGTGATCTATAGCCCGTTTTCATATTGTATTGCTTATAATGATATCTTTTTATGATAACATACTAGTTTTAAGTCAAGATTTGTGATACTCTGGTAGTTATACTGTCCATCAACGACAGGTTTTTACGTTCTAAATTGTATATGTTAATAAATATATTGCTATCGTCACCATATGGCTGATGTGATGCTAAGTAGTAACATACTCATTCACTAATATTTATGCATCTTCCACTTAGTTTGTACGTAAAGAAAAATTGATGTTGTCAAAATCTAATAAGTAACAGTACATTCGATCCGTGCAGCATTTTCTTACTTGATTTATCTTCAATAATATCAATAACAGGGAAGTCGTGTCTATCACACTGATTAAGGAAGAGTCATTAAATTATTTCTCGATGGTCTTTGAGAAAATTGCAAGTGAATGGTTACATTACATGAATGGCAAGATTACCGTAAGAGGAATCTTCACCTCAGTTTGCTCTAGAAGTAGGTTGTGAGGATGTGTCTTCAAAGTGTTCTTCATCGTAATTAGTGTAGAAAGTAGTCTTGGCTCAACTGAAATTGAGTGTGGTTGAAATTGCAAAAGCTAGTGATAATCAGACAGTGTGATTTTTGTCTACTTGTGTCTGGCTGCAACACAATTTCTCATGATATTTTTTGTGCTGGACTTCGATCGACTCATGAAAAGTTCAGAATACTTTCACACATTTTAACCCATTAGCGTTGGAAATCAAGTTTGCAAACCCATTATGCATTTTCTATGATTTATTATACTAACACCTCGGGGGCTCTGCGAGTATCCTGAAGTGGTGCATGTACAAAATTACGGCCAGACCGACCTTATAAAATATCACATCGAGGTTGGGAGAAGCTATGGTTTTAGTTAGAAGTAAACTAAGTGTGTTTGCTAGATAATGGGGAGATTTAATGCTAGATGCATCACAGCGCTTCTTTCATTAAATGCTATTCACCCGAAACCTTCCAGGTGTTTCCAAGGGTGGTAGAGTACCCCAGCTGATGATTTGCTCGTCACGACAAACCCCTAGTTCGAATGCCCTCGTGGATAGATGTACAATGAGCATGACCCATTTATCGCGTCTGCAGTCGTGATATTTACCACCTTATAGCCAAAATAGAAAAAAGTAAAACCAGGATTTCTATTTTTACTAAAGTTAAGAAACATATGCGAAACAAAAGCCAGAGGTATCGGGGTGATTAACTTTTTCCAGCTGTTCTACGAAGACCAATTGACATTCCAAAATTTCCAGAAACCTCTATTGCAAGTTCCATCACGATTGTTAACGGGTATTAAAAAGATGCGTTTGACTTGTATTTTTGTGTCACTGGAAAAAGTTACCTGTGACGATTTATTCTCTACCGTAAGAATTGACAAGGATCATACACAATGCACGCGTGTTGTCCTCAACCTGTAGATGTGTGAAAAGGTCTTCAGTATAATAAGTAACTGTCGTTTACATTGTTGTCCATTATTGGAATAGATTCTCATTCATGTATTGAGTTAGGTATGAGAAATAGTTTAATAGTCGCATGTGGGATGTTGGCTGTGAATGTCAGTGTGTTTATAGAAGCTTCTACCTCATTGTTATATAAACTAATGTGACACTTCGTGTATTTTTGTGTTATAACGACAGGTAAACTACATTGCGATATACAATACCTGACAGATTACCGATGGCGTTTACAGTAACAATGGCTCAACGTCAACACATGATTGACGACAGGTATTACTTTACCAATTTGTAGAAATGTAAATGCTTGAGGTAGTTACAAATGGCTTGTGTTCGTAATACAATATCTTTCAAGCCGAAATGACTCCATAACTGTGTAAACTTCATCATGAGATTACTGACCTACTACTCCAATGAGGGGTTGTACGCCATTCCTATTTAGAGCGCTCGTTACACTGAATACAATGGTTCAATTCCCGAACTGGGTGCAAAGAGTGAAGCCCTATTCTGGTGTCCCCTGCCGTGATATTGCAGGAAGATTGCTAAAACTCAATTGCTCAAACCTACAACGCGGAGTTTATCCTGGTTGAAGCAGTGATCAATTTGTTGTACGTTGGAATACAAACCACTTTTAAGAGCAGCAATTTCAGTGAAGATAGAAATACAACGCAGAACATTTACATTGTGAAAAATGTTTCTTTTTCAAAAATCAACAATGCCATTTCAAGCATGACACGAATCACATGGCGCTACAAAATCAGCAACAGTGTCAGAAAGAAAAATATATATTTGGAATGTAATCTGTCCACTAGTTAGCGGCTGTTTTCAGAAAATAGTCGTCTCTGTAAACACATCCTTACAAAACAAACAAATCTTTGCCTTTATCACGTTCTGTTCTCCAGTTGTCAACAGCCGACGACATCAACAAACATCGACGGTAATCCGATGGAACCCTTTGATCTTCAATATTTGGATAGGAACCATTGAACCTTCGATGGTGCTTCGTTTGCTCATTATTCAATCTAGCTCTCCTACTTGAGCAATACTTATGGCGACATAGAAGATACAGTCTTCCATCTGAATGCGCATGCGCAGAGGAAGAGGAAGTAGAGGGCGTGTATTGCCGCATGGAGGTTTCTTTAGTGGAAGGGTATCCTGGTGTAGGATTTGCCTTTCTGTACTCAACGTTTGTAAACTTCGCCATCCGTATGGGCTTCTCTGGATCTAGATATCTCCTTTCGCTCTTCGACGACGTCGTCATTTCAGCACGTCCAATGAATTTTGCTTTCAATTTATAAAAGGCGGGAAGAGACTCCAAATCTAAGCAACAACGACATAGGGTCCGCTTCGATGCTTGACGAAACTTTCGAGACAGAAGGTTGTATAATATGGGATTGACGGTTGAGCTAAGAAAATATAGCACACCTGAAAATAATAGTAACAATGAGTAATATAGAACGTCAGTGCTAAAGAAATTCCAGTCTAGACTATCCCCATGAACAAATTCCGTTCAGAGTAAAGGAGAAAATAGCTGTGAAAATTATATGATGAGATCATTAAAAATCAGTGATGACACCAGGTGTTCGCGAAAAGGGTACGCTTGTCCTGTCACACCAAACAAATGAGAACGGCAGCGCTAGTCGTATATATTTCTGGAAGAATAACGTTAATTTATGTTTTGCAGCGAACCCGTACACTGGTGGTAAACCAAGGGGATACAACTCAGTCTGCAACATTGATCAAATAGGCGTTAACACAAATCATTCCAGCACTCGTTTCAAAGATCTCATGCGCTCATACTTCTGTAATTGTGTAAGTCCAATCTTTATGTTCTCCGCTGAATGTTAACTATATAGTCAAATTGCTCTTCCCTCTCATCAAAAGGAATTAATAAAGCTTTTTTTCTTATGATTGATGTTGTAGAAAGAAATCACGTTTCCAATTTCAAATCAAACACGCAGTAATCTAAATACGATTAATGTAGGTGAACCTCGACACTCGACACACCTCTACAATTACACTAAAAGTAATAATAGCAACAACAAAAACAAACCCTAAGAAATTTATGTTTAAAAAGTCCTTGTACGGATCTGATTACAACTTGTGTAATCAGGGCATTAAAAACCAATTGAATGTATATTTCCCTGCACAAACATTAGACCTTAGGGACCGTTCATATTTTTTTTTGGGGAGAAAGAGGGGAGAGAGGAAGAATGAGATGATTTGAAGGGGGTCACCCATTTTGTTCCGGGGAGCTAGGAACAATTTTGTACACACGCACTAGGGGGGGTCAGAAATTTTGAACATATAAATATGTTTTGTTGATTTTGTACATGACATACGGGGGACACTTATTTTGTACATAAATGTTAGGGGGGGGTCATTCACATTGTACATGCTTCTCCATAAAAATCATCATCATCCCCCCTAGCCATAAATTATGAACGGTCCCTATATGGTTATGTGTTCTTTGTTAACCATACCTACCTGAGACGTAGAACAAATGGCTTTGTACCAGAAGCAACTCTGGGGTCCACTGCTCGTGTTTAATGTACAGGGTCATCAGTCTCTGGGCGTGAAAGGGCGCCCAGCAGATGAAGAAGGCGACAACTACTGCGACTGAAACATTGGATATTCCAATGACAAAATTGCAAAAATACACTTTTCCAAACAAAGTACATATAAAAATAACTACGGGAGTCTTTAAGTACACTTGCGTAACCTTGATTCATGGATATAAAGGAAGTGCGGGGAAATTCAAATTTTAAATGCATGATTTCATTTTGTATACGCACTGATTGACTCAGCAAATTAAAAAAGGTATCCTCCCAAAACGCAGACTCGTTCAAACAACACTTGTTATGGTTGGTTGCATCCTTGATTAGTAGGCTCTACCCTTGATTAAGAAAAATGGTATCACCCATGTAACGAGTTTTGACAATGTAGCAAGTGATCCTTTATTTAATTTCATTTCTTCTCTGGCTCTCTTCCTTATGACGCTGACAAATCTCACTGCTCGGATGGTTGTGTGGATGGTTGTGTTCTGACGTGCCTCTGACATAGTCTCTGACTGTTGTGCATTTGCCACTGCATGATCCGTCCACACACCTCGAGTACTAAGGGTGAGACGATACACCGATGTTACGCTGTACCGCGATGCATGACCCACAATACGATACCGCATACAAGAACGTCCTTACATTGATAAGCCATGATACGTTATAGTATATAATTTGCATTTGTGTGACATTCTTACTTGTAACACCATCTAAACTTTTGTTATAGGCTGAAAGCATGATCGAAGTGTTTTGGTCGGTTGAACAGTTTATTCTAGAATTTGATAATCAAAGGCAGTGTAAATGTTTAATGGAAACTTTCATACTGAATATAGTATATTATGGTTCAGGGGGTTAGGAAGTAATCTAGAATTAGTGAATAATAAACACTTGTTGACTTTTTATACTCATAGCAGTGTTACTGTTAGTTTGTATATCCATCTACTGACTTAAAGAAAGGGTCATGTTGCATTAAGCATTGTTAATAAACAAGCTTTAGACTAAAACCTTGTGGGGCACCTTTCTGGGACAAGACATACTCTACTTTTCCAAGCCCGGCTTATAGTGTAATTTGACTATGTTTCAACCAATCTTTCAAATGTATATATATACATGTATTATACACAAGAGAAGGAAGTATTAGTGTTAGTGGGAACATTGCCTAAGCTAGTTGATTTATTCTTATACAAATCTTTTGACTTGTTTTAAGGTTGTGTTTGAATAAGATTCATGGGAGGAGTTGAAGTATCTGATCCTCAAAACACAGCTTCTACTCATCAAATGTATGAAGAGCAGATTAAAGAATGGAGCAGTGTTTTAAGACAATGTTGTTGTTGTACACTACTACTCGGTGACTTAACATAGCGGTAATCCCTTATGTCAGGGAGTGGACCAGGTCATTCATTAATTAGGGGTGACCAGCATGGTCCAATAAATTAGTGTGCTACTTTGTTCTGCATTTTGGGAGGTCTGCGTTTTGGGAGTAAACCCAGGCAAATGCCTAATATTCCACTCGTGAATGAAACGTTTTTTACGGAAGCCATTTGCAATCATCACCCATTCGTGTGCCCACAAAATGTCACCTTGTTTCGTGCATTACGTAGTCGGTTACTTTATATGTACGACCTCCTACTGCAGTAAGTATTGACACCAAGGAAAGCAGACAACGAGAAGTGAGAAGGTTGGTGCTAACGGTATCTTTTTTACTTGACATTTTGTAAAAATAAAATTTGGTAATGGTGGTATTAGTGATCTGGGGTTATTTATCTCAGTGCTGGACGATTATATTTAGTGTACTTGCGTGTAATGCAGAGTTTTGGAACTTTTTAGTGAGCCAGGCGTGGCATTGTATGTACATCAAAAGTACCGCTTCGTGACGTCAGTCGAGACTTAATTTACGAGCCAGCATGATAATTTCCGCGATCCACGAATCAATGTTATCCACGAATTTAGGTAACGGTTCTGTACATGTAGAAGTTATAACAAAACTATGTCAGAAATTCACATGACCTCAAAATGCACAGTTTATAAAGGTGACATTCCTTGCAAATAGGTAAATGACATCGTATTTCACAAAGAGTCAGTGAAGGTGTCATGCGGTTACGAAATAATCTAGAAATATTTCGGAATGACACTGACCATGTATGTGCCTTATGTTACCAGTACTATCGTACAACAAGAATGACGTACATATATCATTCAAAAACCGCTGCAAAAATGCGCAATGTCCAGTTATATAGATATATGATTATTAACGGCCAAACAGGCGATTTATAAGTTGCGATTGCTCTTTAATTATTATTTATCACCATAAACGATTCCATGAGGATGGTATTTGGTATTTTGTTAACCCATACAGCGATCTATGGAAACATATTTCGGTTGATATGTCCTGAACAGAAGATCTGCTAGAAGATCTGCCACCCATTTCAAGTCTATGTCAAGACATTGATATACTGTCTGCTTATTATTATGGTTGGTTTGTTGTTTAACGACGCACTCAACAATATTCCAGCGATATGGCGCCGGTCTGTAAATAATCGAGTCTAGACCAGGCAATCCAGAGATCAACAACATGAGCATCAATCAATGCAATTGGGATACGATGACATGTGTCAACCTGACCACCGGATCCCGTTAGTCGCCTCTTACGACAAGCATGGGTTGCTGAAGACCAATTCTACCCCGGATATTCACGAGTATTATTATTGTTATGGTAACCTTAACCGTAAGATAGATGTTCATCTTGAAGTACTCGACTCAAACTTGTTAGAGCTTCGGGAACCCAATCCTGAGATGGAAGATAGATACCCTTCCCGTTTAAATGAACAACTATTAGTTAACTCGACAATCGCAGACAATTACTCACAGTTCATTAAAACACCTTCCCACGGCAATACATTTCAACACCGACATTTCAGATATGCAGCTCACCAGCCTATATCCCATTAGCCTAACACATATACATACCTAGCATTTTGAGCACGGCTTTCCTGGCTCGAGCGGCTGCTGTTTTCCCAGAATGTGATTGCATGTACATTGCTGACGCTATCTCCGACTTCCTCAGCTTCATCCCAATCATTATATACATCATCGTTATCACAGTCATTGGCAGGACGAAAAACACAAACGTTGAAACCTGAAACATATACGTCATCTTTGTCTGCCACTGGCGCGGTATGTTGCACAGGAGAGAGTCTTTGATTGGCTCCCCTGTTCTTGGGTCAGTCACAAAGTAGAACACACGGGTGTATATTGGGTAGGGCAATGCGCACACCCCTGACAATACCCAGATGACACATATACATTTCACAGCCCGGCTCAAGCCAAACGTTCTTTGTCCACGAATGGGGTGGCAAATTGCTATGTAACGTTCTATTGTAAAACCCGTAATTGTTAATACTGACGCATTGGACGTCATCTCTATGAGAAAAGACTTGAAAATACAGAATGGTTCCCCGAATCGCCATGGATACGCTTCCCAGAATGAATATAGCTCCGGAGGCAGGGCTGAAAGAGAAGAAGAAAAGGACAATTAAAGCTTAATGATTTTACTCTGTGTACTTATTGCAAAGGTCTGCTTTAGGGTGTTAACGTAGTGTCTTGAATGCACTTAGCCTTCAAAAAGAACAAATTTCGTGCGGCATCGTTTCGGTCGATATCGTCACAATTAATCAGCAGCTTACTGCATAAGGGTGTCTTTGTTTCTTTATATACTTCACATAAATCAATTTTAATTTTTGATTTTATTGATTTTGCTTTATATACTTATTACAAAGATTTCCTTTAGGGTGTTAACGAGGTGCCTTGTTCGATTAATATACTTAATCTACAACAAGAACAAAATTCGTGCGGAATCATTTCGGTCGATATCGTCAAATTTAATCAGTTCCTAACTGCGTAGAGATTTCCTTTGTTTCTTGGTATACTTCACATAAATCGGCCGCCCAGAAAACTAGTTTATTGAATAACGGCTAAAGGATGAAGCTGGCTTTAGTGTATGCCTGTAAGTGAACGAATAGATGAACCTGTAGGTAGTATAAAAGGAACAGAGCTCATGTCCCAAGAATTCACATATGTAACTTGTGCTTGTAAACTATAACAGTTCTCGAACTAAGTCTCAGCCATGTCCAACAAACCTAAGTATGAAAGGAACCATTGATTATTTTTACATCGTATCATCCCACACGGTCTCGCTCCAGGTGAACTCTTCGGATGGCTACCCAAACACTGACCAAACTCTCCAACCGTGTTCTAATGACCTTTCACGACATGATTTATGCACTAAGATAACGTCTGAAATAGCTACGTGATTGTGTATGATTGTGACCCGTTTCGGTATGCATCATAAGCACATGCACAGCATTGATCACATGCACAGTTTTCAATCACAAGGGATCAATATTTCAGGGTTAAAACTGTTAAGGATCTATTTAATATTGTTATTTATCATTTTATTATCGAATTTTTAACAGACATTGAATTGATTGATACATTTTGAGTCAGATGTTTTCTAGATAGATGTACTATTATAATTGGAAGTTTAAATCCGTAACTGAGATTGTTAGTGGCTGTATCCTCAAAGGAGGTTGAAGTATTTTAGAATTATTGTCCTCCTGAGAGGATTCGTAAGTCCCAAAAGATTCAAAGTCAATTTAATCTCTCCACTCTTTTTAATCGTAGAATATGTGTGCTTTTAATGTATGGCTAGATTTGTCTAAATTGTTGACAGCTGAAGGGGTGGTGTAAATTCAGCTAGGGTTCATGTAGGAAGCAAATGTCCTGTAAGTCCCCATGGTGCCTAGTATGGTGATCTACCTTCAGTTGTTGGCAATCTATAGCCTGTTTTTATATTGTATTTTTCTCTTTTAATAATATCCTTTCATGATAACATGCTAGTTTTACATTCAAATCTGTGATACACTAATAGTTTTATTGTTCTTCGTCAACAGGAATTAATTTCTATTCATATTGATCTATAATATAATAAGTAATTGTTGTCGTCACGATAGGGCTGAAATATTGCCGATGTGACCATAAATATTAACTCACGCACTCACTCACTTGCATGGAAGTTCACGTTCGGCATTGGATCGTGTCCTGCGTTGAAAGCGAAGCAATGTAGCCACTGATAGAAGCAACAATTTTCAAGCAATGAACGTTACACCTGCAAGCCGTCGATTTGTTATTTACCACTGTGGATCATATCAGTCAGATTAAACAACATTCTCTATGTTATCATCATTATTGTTTAATAAATGGAACGCTCTTATTCATTTTGATAAGAACATTTTGAAAATTTCTAAATTTCATTTGAAATGAACACCGTTCTATTATTTGCTACGAAGATGCGTGCACTGTTGTATGTTACATTCATAAGTATTCATGCAATATATTTTGCTTTAACCTTGTAAAACTGTTATATCAAGGACAAAGATTGCATATTACGGCGTTAAACAACAAAACTATTGCAAACATGGTCATTTCATATTCAAAACAACGAAAGAAGGATCTGCGTTTAAAATTTTCTGAAACTCCTCCAGAGACAATTTCCTGTTCTACTGCAAACAAATCCGTATCAAGTACTCATTTATTGTGTACGGATGTCCCGTCATGAATATTATATTGCATCCTGTTCTCTTGTACACAAGTCCGTATCAATAACTCATTTATTGCGTACGGATGTCCAGTTATGAATATAATATCGTTTCGCTGTCCACACATTTGTAGCTATCAAAACAAACTATGGGTTGTCCTTCCCGTGAGTGAGGAAATCAATATCATCCCTCCTTGGGGGTTCCGAACAAGTACACGGTGTCATCTGTATAATTAGCACGGCATCAATGAAACTGTCGCTAATGTACTGCTGCTCATACGCCGGCCGGCGTCTCTATAAATCATTCAAACATGCGGGGGAGGCGATAATACATAGTCAACACCTCAATGAGGTGAAAAGTTCAAGATTGTGGTGTTGAATGACTTTTCTATAAAAACATCATTGATGTAGAGTATTAGCAGCTAGAGTAGCTTTAATAATAGGTTAGTTTGGTGTAATGTCGGATCTTAAATATACTGAAAACACGTATTCAAAACCTCAATTAGGTGAACATATCAAGATTGTGCTGTAGAATGACTTTTTCTTAAAAGCATCATTGATGTAGAGTATTAATTAGTAGCTAAAGTATCTGTAAAAATAGCTGAGTTTGGTGTGATATCGTATCTTAAACACACAGAACATACGTACTCAAAACCTCAATGAGGCGAAAAGTTCAAGATTGTGTTATTAAATGACCTTTGCATAAACACATCATTGATGTAGCAGAGTATTAGTAGCTAAAGTAGCAGTTTGTTTGGTGTAATGTCGTATCTTAAGTTAAATATACTGAAAATACGTACTCAAAACCTCAATGAGGTGAAGGTTATGTTGTTGACTCTCTTTTGTATAACAACATCATTGATATATGAAGTAGTATTTATAATAATAGTAGTAATATTAATTGTTGTATGGCATGATGTCCTAAACCTTTTATACTTCGTTTGCGTAGTAGGGCCACGGTGAAACAGATTCCGTTTTTGGTCTTACTATCTCCTACGTAGTACTTAATATCTCCTACGTAGGACTTAGTATCTCCTACGTAGGACTTAGTATCTCCTACGTAGGACTTAATATCTCCTACGTAGGACTTAGTATCTCCTACGTAGGACTTAGTATCTCCTACGTAGGACTTAGTATCTCCTACGTAGGAGGTATCTCCTACGTAGGAGTATCTCTCTACGTAGGACTTAGTATCTCCTACGTAGGACTAGGACTTAGTATCTCCTACGTAGGACTTAGTATCTCCTACGTAGGACTTAGTATCTCCTACGTAGTACTTAATATTTCCTGTAGGAGATGATCGATATACGTTTATATAGATTAATCTGAAACGGTCGACTTAAATCCCCAGACACGCACACAATCTCCTGTTTCACTGTCTCAGTCACTGTGAGAGTCTACAGTCATTCGTTTCATTCACTATTAGAGTCTACAGTTATGTGTTTCATTTACTGTTAGAGTCTACTATCATGTGTTTCAATTTACTATTAGAGTCTACTGTTTCCTTCACTATTAGAGTCATGTGTTCAACTAATTGTTGCACATTACTGTGTTGGACCGACTGTTATACTTTACTGCCTTGCGTTCAGTTTACTATTACGCGTTGCAGTTAGTTCACTGTTATATGTTGCACTTTGTTACACTTTACTATTATGCGTTGGATATTTCAGAGGTCGTTGCACATGAATCATAATCTGCGTGTACAGACGTGTCTTAGACTATCGGTGGCAATCTATGTGTACGTATCCCCTTATATTTATACAAATAAATATAATGACAATTCTTTGCCTTTTTGAATTTCGTATTGTTTTACGCCGCACTCAACACTTGTCCACCCCAGTCAAGTCAACCTGTAAACAATTACGAAAAAAGCCGCAAACGAGCGTTGCATCCGATCCAACCTAGCCCCATCAAGACAAGCAACAACTTGCGGAGGTCGTGTTATAACCCGAGTTTCATATCACAACCTCACCCCAACCATCCCACCCACCTCTCTCTCTCTCTGTCTGTGTGTGTGTGTGTGTGTGTGTGTGTGTGTGTGTGTGTGTGTGTAGATGTGTGTGTGAATGTATGATAGTATGATAGATTAAACATAACCATACCCAAACCTCCATAACTGCAATTAGAACAGGGTCCACGTCACCCTAACGTAATACACACACAATAACACTGTATAGTAACACTGCGTTAGTGTCATGAATATTCACTGACTCACATTTCAACTATCTAACGTCCTGCATAGCCAAACATTTCTCAACTTAATAACCATCCTTAAAAAGGATATATTAAGTACTACGTAGGAGATAGTATGCCCTACGTAGGAGATAGTAAGTCCTACGTAGGAGATACTAAGTCCTACGTAGGAGATACTAAGTCCTACGTAGGAGATATTAAGTCCTACGTAGGAGATAGTATGTCCTACGTAGGAGATACTATGTCCTACGTAGGAGTCCTACGTAGGAGATAAGTCCTACGTAGGAGATCCCTACGTAGGAGAGATACTAAGTCCTACGTAGGAGATACTAGGGCCCTCCTACGCTTCCGTACCGAATAAATAGCTGTGAAGTCCTACGTAGGAGATATTTGACAGAAATCTGTAAAATAATTATTCACAAATAATATTTATGGAATTGTACCCATTTACTTTATATTCATTAAAAGTCCTTTACGTAGTGTTTTAGATACTAAGGACCTACGTAGGGGAGATATGCCAAGGACCCGTCCATTCTTAAGGTGTCGAGATTGGTCTTCGCTTCCACCTCTGCAGTTAACCGGCCATTACTATGCTGACACTTATGCTTCCGTAATATATGGTGGCGTTGGCGACATTTTCTATGTTACTATCTTTATTTCTAAACATATGGAACATGTTCTTACGTTCTAATTCATTTTGTTAAGGTCATTTTGAAAATTT